TGTGGGGCAAGGAGGTGGAGCTGAGAGATAAGGAGTGGAGTGGGGATGGGGTCAAGGGAGTAGGTGGTGGGTTTCAGGCATAGGATGAGTTTGGTGACAGAGGATGGGGAAACGGGTACGAAGGTGTGTAGGGGAGGATGGGTAGGAGTCGGAGTGTGGGAGGGAAGGGGTGGGGGGTTGGTGGATGTTGGAGGGGAAGTGACCGTGGAGCGAATTCCCTTGATCTTGGATTCAAGGAAATCCAGCATCTCCTCGCAGTGAAGGTTGGAGGAGATGATCTGCGCGGGGTGGCGGGGGGGACGGAGGAGTTGGGATGTGGTAGAGAACAGTAGCCTGGGGTTGTCCTTCGCCTCCAGGATTATCCTGGAGTAGAAGGACGATTTGGCCGAGGCTAGAGTGGAGCGGTAGATTTTGAGGAGGTCCAACCAGATTTGTCGGTGGACCGTTGGGCCAGATTTGACCCAGGTGCGTTCAGCGGCTCACACCTGGCTCTTCAGTGAGTGGAGGTGGGTGGTGAACCAGGGGGAGGAGCGAGAACAGGAGACAGTACGGAAGGTGATGGGGGCAAGAGTGTCAAGTGTGGAGGAGAGGGTGTTGTGGAGGAGGGTGAGAGCAGAAGAGGGGTCGGTGAGGGTTGAGGGCCAGCGGGAGAGGAGTTCAGAGGACTCCAAGGCAGCGGTTAGGGATTGAGGGGGTAACTTCTTCCAGGGGCGGTAGAAGATGGTGGTGGGTCTGGTGGAGGTGGGGAGGGGGGTGGAGGTGGTGAAGGAGATGAAGTGGTGGTCGGAGATGGCCTTGTCGGTAATGGTGACATCCGAGACACTGAGGCCCCGGGTGATCACCAAGTCGAGTGGGTGGCCGTGACTGTGAGTGGGGGAGTTGATGTGGAGGGAGAGGTTGAGCGAGGAGAGCAGGGAAGAGAAGTCTGAGGAGATGGAGCAGGAGGGGGTGAAGTGCAGGTTAAAGTCGCCCAGGATGATGAGGCGATCAGAGCAGAGGCAGAGAGATGTGAGAAGTGTTGAGGTATCAGAGATAAAGGTGAGAGAGGTTTTAGGGGCCGGTAGAGGAGGAGGATTTTAAGTGAGAGGAAGGAGGGGTGGGAGAGGGTGAGGTGCTCAAAAGAGGGGAAAGAGCCAGAGGAGTAGGGGGAGAGGGCAAGTGGTGTCCTTGAGTTAAGGGCAACACCACTGCCACAGCGGTTGGGGCGAGGGATGTGGTGGGAGGTGTAGTCGGGTGGTGTGGCCTCTGTGAGGGGGAAGGTGTCCCTGGGGTGAGCCAGGTTTCCATTAAGGCCATGATATCAACGCTCTCATCAAGGATGAGATTGTTGATGACCAGGGCCTTGTTACAGAGGGAGCGGACGTTTTGTTGTCTGATGTGGATGGAGCGGTTGACAGAAGGGTGTGTGGGAGGGGAGGGGGGTCCCGGTTGTGAGGCAGGGGTGGGGGAAATGGGGATAAGGGAGGAGAGGTTGGCTCCCCGGGTCTGTGTCCGGGGTGGCTGGCGAGTGTGGTGGGGAATGGGGCAGTCGGTGTGGCTGCTGCTGGACAGCCAACGCCGAGTGCCGCGGTGAGCCCGGCCGGCGGAGGGTTCCCAGACTGGAACAGAGGGAGGGGGTGGGAGGGTCAAGTGGGGATAGAAGGTGAGAGGGACGGAGAGAGAGGAGGAGAGAGCGGGAGAGATGCAGAGGGGGGAGGGTTTGGGGGTAGAGAGGAGGGAGGAGGGAGGGGGTGAGGGGGCTCGGGTTACAGCGGCAGCCATATTGCGCACGCGGGGACCGGGAGCGAGCGGTCAGGTGGATGGACACATTATTCCATAGGCTGGGGCTGGGGCAGCCAACCTAACAGGACCATGGGGGGCCCTGATGTGAGCCCTGGGTGGGGGGGGGGGGGGGGGGGGCGCAGAGGTTTTTTTTTGTTGCGCGCCCACACTTCTGAAAACTACAACTATGACGTCAGCGGTTCCCCCACTCCGCCCCCACCCGTTCTCTCCTCAGCCCCACATCCTGCCGCGTCGAGGTTAAGTACCTGAGAGGTAGGCCCAGGCTCCTCCCCGCGCTGTCCTGGCGCCGCTCCCTGTCTCATGTCCGGAAACCCGGAGGAACTAAGACAACGGATAATGTTTTGGGGAGGGAGAGGAGGTCAGAGAGGTCGGGGGGTACAGAGGAGTGCAGGGACTTGAATACGAGGGTGAGGATCTTGACATCGATCCTCTCTGGGATAGGCAGCCGGTGCAGTCTGGCCAGGACTGGGGGCATCGGGGAGCGGAGGTTCGTGTGGGTGAGAATGCGGGCGGCAGAGGTTTGAAGGCTGCTGAAAGGACACGAATGCACTATACAAATGTAATTTGTTGTTGTTGTTGACACCCAATTTAGGAGTGAAATCAGAGGCGGTTTTTCACACACACACAAAGGCCAATGGGAGTCTCTCTCCCCCCAGAAGGCTGTGGTTTATGGCTGATCCATTCACACTGTCCAGACTGAGGTGGAAAGATATTTGTCAGGTCAGGGGGTCAAGGGATATGGGGAAAAGACAGGTAATTGGAGTTGAGGTACAGATCAACCATAATCTTACAGAATGTCAGAACAGGCTTGAAGGGCTGAATGATCTCCTCCTGTCCCTATGTTCCAGATTCCATCACAACGTGAAAGGCGCTATACAAATGTAATTTGTAGTTGTTGTTGCTGTTGTTGACACCCAACTCTCTGCCTCACCCTTAACTCCAGGACCCACTGCTGTTCTGACAGAATGTCTGTCAGACGTCAAGTCCAGGATGAGAGCGAACTTTGTTCAGTTGAACATCAACAAGACCGAGGCTCCTGATTGGCTCTCATCAGCACCTCCTCACCTCAGGCGCTGACAGCATCACCATCCATGGGGCTCACTCCCCCTCACTGAGCCAGTCCCGGACCTTGGGGGCTTGTTTGACCCTCAACTATCCTTTCTACCCCATATCTGTGCTATGATCCGCTCTGTCTTCCCCACCTCCGCAACATCGCCCGACTCCGACACTGTCTCACACCGCAGCCCCCGAGACCCTCATATACACCTTCATTACATTGAGGCTCAACTGTGCAAACTCACTGCTTGTTGGCCTCACCAACACTTCCCTCCGCAGGCTGCAGATCATCTAGAACTCTGCAGCCCATGTCCTCTCCTGCACCAGGCTCCGTGACCCTATCACCCTCATTCTCACCCGACTCCACTGACTTTCTATCACACAGAGGAAACAGTTCTTGGTCCTCACCTTCAAAGCCCTCCATGGCCTTGCTCCCCCCGATCTCTCCAACCTCCTAACTCCCTACCAACCTGCTCGCTCCATCCTCTTAGCGGGCTCCGGCCTGCTTCACGTCCCCCGCTAGTCTGGAACCTTGGCGTCTTGTTTGACCCTCAACTATCCTTTCTACCCCACACCTGCGCCATGACCCGATCTGCCTTCCCCACCTCTGCAACATCACCCGACTCCGCCACTGTCTCACACCGCAGGCCCCCGAGACCCTCATACATGCTTTCATTATATCGATGCTCAACAATATCAATTCTGGCGGGACTATGGCCTGCTTCATGTCCCCTGCTTCACCCCCCCCCCACTATTGGCGGGCGGGCCTTCAGCCACTCTGTCCCCACCCTCAGTACCTCCACATCGCCCCCTCGCCTCCTTCAAGACCCATCTCAAGACCCTCCTCTTCGACCGTGCTTTCGATCTCCCTGTTTCCCCCACTGCCCTCCCCAACCCCCAGATCGGGTCCGTCACTCTGTCTGTCCAGCGCCTTGGGACGTCCTCCCGACATGAAAGGCGCTTTACACATTCATTTTGTTGTTGTTGTTGTTGCTCTGAGTAACTGAGCTCAGTTTGTCTGCAATCAGAGGACAGGGAAACTCCGCTGCAATTCCGCCAGTCAACCCCAGGTGGCAGCGGACTGGTCAGCACCAGGTGGCAGCGGACTGGTCAGCACAAGGTGGCAGCGGACTGGTCAGCACCAGGTGGCAGCGGACTGGTCAGCACCAGTGGCTGAGGGCTCTGCAGCGCCGCCCGTGGGCCAACAGCGGTACAGCAGCTGTTCTTTTCTCAGGGAAATGGATTTGATTCTGTGACCGTTTCCCTGTAACCTGGAAAACACTAATATACAGTAATCATACACAGGGATATACAGGAATTCAGGAAATCTCACCGCGGGGGTCAGCATCCATCTCGGAGAAGCACACCTTCCTGCATGAATACAGTCACTACACTCGACTGAAACACTGAGATGTTGCGATGTTGAAAAATATCAATTTTGTCACTCAATCCACGACTGTTTGTGGGACCCACTGCTGCGTTTCGCTCACAAACTACACAGTCAATTCACTTTACAGTATATCCTGTGAAGTATTTTGAGACGTCTCGAAGGCGCTATAATAATAATAATCCTTGCATTTGATATAGCGCTTTTCGTGTCTTCTTGGGGTCACAAAGCGCTTCACAGAATATGCTGTAAAGTAAATTGACTGTTTATTTGTGGGTGAAACGTGGCAGCCAATTGCGCACAGCAGCCGTGGGTTGAAGTGACCAAATTTTTTTTTTTTTTGGAGGGATTATTATCATATGCCAGGGCTGATCAGTTACAAATTGAAACAGGGCTGATCAGTTACAAATTGCTTTATTGCATCTTACAAAAAAATTACGATGCGTTTACATCACATCACTGACAATGGCTTCCAGCTGGCGTGTTATTGGAGTGTGACTGGCGTGTGCAAGGTACAGAATCCACAGTCGTATTGCTGTCAACATAACTGCCATGTTGCCTGATATTCCATTTGGGAGCCTCGACTCATCATGGAGTCCATGTGTGTGTGAGTGTGTGTCTGAGTGTGTGAGTATGTGTCTCTGAGTGTGTGTGTGAGTGTGTGTGTGTGTGAGTGTGTGTGTGTGTGTGTGTCTTGAGTGTGAGTGTCTGTGTGTGAGTGTGTGTCTGAATGTGTGTGTGTGAGTGCGCGTGTGTCAGTGTGTCTGTGTGTGTGAGTGTGTGTGGGTGTTAGTGTTTGTGTGTGCAACGGGTGAAGTCGTGATGTGGAATTGGTTACTATTTACAGAGGGAATATTCGGTGTGGCTCGTTCCTGGCTCAGCTGAAGGAGAGAAGATTCCACTGGTGCCAGCTGTGGGGGGAGAGTGGGTGTGACATGGAGGGTGAGAGGGGGAGGAGGGAGGAGAGGGGAGATGGGAAGGGGGGAAGGGGCTCCTCACTCACCCCAGGAAGGCAGGGCTGTGCCAGTCAGAGTACACCAGGAAGCCAGTGAAGGTGCTGTCAGTCTTGGGGCTGGCGTACATGCCGCTGAAGTCTGGCACGGCCACCTGTACCCACACCTGGTCCTCGGGCTCCAGGTGTACCAGCGAGCCGCCCGACAGTGACACCGGCTTGGTCCAGTTACCATAAAACTGGAAGAAGGAGGCGACAGATTGGCCGTTCTTCATGATGTCGAACTGCAGGCTGATCCGGTAAACGGTGGCGTGAACCACAAAGTAGTAGACTCCGGGGACGGCACAGGTGAACTTGCCGGTGAGTGGGCTGTAGTGTCCCTGCTCGTTCTGGGTCACCGTGTCAAACAGGACGGGCTGGTCAGTGGGAGGGAAGCTGCTGGCGTCCGCACGCTTGGCGCTGAAGGCGGAGTGATAGGTTACCAGGCTCTCTCCTTTCACCCCCTTCTCCCCTCGCTCCCCCCGCATCCCCACATTGCCTGGCGTTCCTGCCGGCCCCGTGTAACCTGTGGGGGAGGGAGAGAAACAACCGCAATTACACCAGAACTCCCCTCCCTGCCCACATCCTCTCCCACCCCATCCCTCACTCCAATCTGCTCCCCTGCCCCCATCCTCTGCCTTATAGAACCTTATCACATTGTTGAAACGAGTGCTTCACAGAATATAGTGCAGTGACTGTGTATTGTGCTGGCGAAACACATCAGCCAATTACGCACAGCAGGGCCCCAACACCTCGACCCTGTGGGTTTCTGCACAGAACTGAGTGAGTGAGACACACAGCTCTAACCACTAAACTACAGGACTCCCAACGGAAGTTGTGCTGGCAATGTGGTGACAGCCAGCAGCAACCGTGTGTCTGTGACACATAAAATAACGACGACAAAATGACATTTGTAAAGTGCCTTTCACGTCGGGGGGACGGCCCGAGGCACTGGACAGTCAGCGTTTCAGACCTGAGCTGTGGGTCGGGGTGGGGGAGGGTGGAGGGCAGGGGGGGGAAGCAGGGAGATTGAAAGCACGGTCGAAGAAGATTTTGAGATGGGTCTGCGGGATCGAGTTCCAGAGGGTGGGGGCAGAATGGCGGAAGGCCCACCCACTAATGGTGGGGTCAGCGAGGAGGGGGATGTGAAGCAGGCCGGAGCCCGCTGAGCGGAAGGAGCGAGCAGGATGGTAGGGGGTTAGGAGGTGGCAGAGGTCAGAGGGAGCAAGACCATGGAATGCTTTGAAGGTGAGGACCAGGATCTTGAACTGTATCCTCTGTGTGATGGGAAACATCTGGAAGCTGCACACTCAGCCCAGTGACGCAGAGTTAAATGGACCCACATGTTTACCAGCATCGTGGGGGCCTGTAGCTTATTCTAAAAATAACGTGGTCACTCAACCCACAACTGTTTGCAGGACTCTGCTGTGTGCAACTACCTGCGTTTCACCCACACAATATAGTCACTACACTTTACAGTATATTCTGTGAAGCGCTTTGAGACACGATAAGGCGCTGTATCAAATGCGAGGATTATTATTATTATCACGGGGTTCACGCTGGTAAATCACCTCGCTCTCCCTGGTCACCCTTTTCCCCATTTGCACCCGGAAATCCATCTCTGCCTTCTCTGCCATCCCGGCCTGGCGTTCCTGCCATCCCATTGTTCCCTGGAGATCCTGGAATTCCTGGGTGCCCGGCACAGAATTCCGAAAGTTTGTTGTTCCCCAAATCGGCTGAGACGCAGACCAGGAATATCAGAGGCACCGTCGCCAAACACACAGCCATCATCAGCCCCCAGCGTCTGAAACACAGGACACAGTAAAGCTCCCTCTGCACTGTGCGTCCGTCCACACTCCCAGGTCAGGGTTAGAGACACAGTAACACACAGTCACTACACTCCCAGGTCAGGGTTAGAGACACAGTAACACACAGTCACTACACTCCCAGGTCAGGGTTAGAGACACAGTAACACACAGTCACTACACTCCCAGGTCAGGGTTAGAGACACAGTAAAGCTCCTCTACACTGTGCGTCCACACTCCCAGGTCAGGGTTAGAGACACAGTAACACACAGTCACTACACTCCCAGGTCAGGGTTAGAGACACAGTAAAGCTCCTCTACACTGTGCGTCCACACTCCCAGGTCAGGGTTAGAGAGAAAGACAGTGCACCTTTAATAAAAGTCTGAACCTATGCTTTACAGCTGATGTTACAGCCCCCCCCAGTCCCCCCACCACCCCCCCAGTCCCCCACCACCCCCCCCAGTCCCCCCCCCACCCAACATCCCGGCACAGACTGGTTGAGAGATTCGCAGCCTTAAAGGGGAAGTGAGAGATGGCTTTGTTGTTTACCTTTTACAATGGATGGGAAAGTGATTGTTGAGTCACGAGATGCCATCATGAGAAAGTGATTCACTCGCCCCCCCCACCCCCCCCCCACCCCCTTCCCAGAAAGATGGAAAAACCTCTCACATTTCCCTGATTTACCAAGTGCTGTTTGCAGCGCAATCAACCCGAGGTTCTCAACAGCAATCAAACAAATACTTTAACAGTTGTCACGATCTGGAGCAAACTGCCTGAAATAGATTATATGATAGCTTTCAAAAGAGAATTAGATTTGTACTTAAAAAGAAAAAATGTGCAGGGTTGTGGGGTAAGAGTGGGGGAGTGGGACTAGTCGGGGTAAGAGTGGGGGAGTGGGACTAGTTGGGGTAAGAGTGAGAGGTGGTGGGACTAGTTGGGTTAAGAGTGGGGGAGTGGTACGAGTTGGGGTAAGAGCGGGGGAGTGGTACTAGTTGGGGTAAGAGCGGGGGAGTGGGGGTAGTTGGGGTAAGAGCGGGGGAGTGGTACTAGTTGGGGTAAGAGCGGGGGAGTGGGACTAGTTGGGGTAAGATTGGGGGAGTGGGACTAGTTGGGGTAAGAGCGAGAGGTGGTGGGACTAGTTGGGGTAAGAGTGGGGGAGTGGGACTAGTTGGGGTAAGAGCGGGGGAGTGGGACTAGTTGGGGTAAGAGCGAGAGGTGGTGGAACTAATTGGGGTAAGAGTGGGGGAGTGGGACTAGTTGGGGTAAGGGTGGGGGAGTGGGACTAGTTGGGGTAAGAGTGGAGGAGTGGGACTAGTTGGGGTAAGAGCGAGAATAGATGGGACTAGTTGGGGTAAGAGCGGGAGTGTGGGACTAGTTGGGGTAAGAGTGGGGGAGTGGGATGAGTTGGGGTAAGAGTGGGGGAGTGGGACTAGTTGGGGTAAGAGTGGGGGAGTGGGACTAGTTGGGGTAAGAGTGGGGGAGTGGGATTAGTTGGGGTAAGAGTGGGGGAGTGGGACTAGTTGGGGTAAGAGTGGGGGAGTGGGATTAGTTGGGGTAAGAGTGGGGGAGTGGGTCTAGTTGGGGTAAGAGTGGGGGAGTGGGACTAGTTGGGGTAAGAGTGGGGGAGTGGGACTAGTTGGGGTAAAAGCGGTGAGCGATACTCACCGGCAATGAGGGGGTCGGGTGTCTGTCTGAACACCAGCCACAGTGAGGTCTGGCCAACACGTTCTTCCTCACTCACTCACTCACTCACTCCAAGCTCACTGTGTTCTTGCTCTCTCTCTCTGTCGTTCTCTCTCTTTGTGTGTGTCTCCCTCTCTGACTGCTTTCGCTGTGGGTTCCGATCAGCCCAGACACTGACTCTGGGAGGAAATGGTTGGAGCCAAGGAAGGATTGAGACCAGCCGGAGCCTCGGGAGCAGAGGGTGGGGGAGGATGTAAAAGAGGCCAAAATTCCTCACGAGACGCTGACTGGTAAAGCTCATTAGTGTTTATTAGCTCAGGAAACACCTTCAGACTGTGTGATAATGAGAGCTTGGCTTAGTCAGCGACTCTGGCCTCTGGCTCAGGAACCCCCAGATTTCAGCTGACACTGAAGCGTGACTCTCCAGCGCAGAGTGGGGGGTGGGGAGTGGAGGAGGGGGGGTGTAGAGGAGGGTGTGAGGAAGGGTGATGGGGAAGGCTGCTGAGTTTGCCTACAAATAGTCAGTGCACTTGACAGTAAAGTCCTTTGAACGAGGATTATTATTACAAGAAGATTACATTTGTATAGCGCCTTTCATGTCAGGAGGACATCCCAAGGAGCTGAACAGTGACAGCATTTCAGACCCGAACTGGAGGGGGGGGAAGGGAGTGGAGAAGGGGGGTG